ATTATCATGAGAAAGCTTCATAACCTCAAAAGAGAGAGGAAGACGCTCTATACTTAGATGAACGCATAACTATTTACGTATGAATGTATGTGTGTGTGTCTGTGTGCGTGTGTGTTTGTTTGTGTGTGCGTGTGTTTGTATGCGCGCGTGTGTGTTTATTTGCTGGTACGTATGTGTGTGAGTATGTAAGTTTATGCACAAATTCGAGTATGATTATGTAAGGGATGTGTGCTCGTGAACATGTGTATGTGTGTATTGTATTGTATGTGTGTCTGTGTATTTATATCTTTGCCCGTTATAGACGTACTACATAAAATAATACGTCATAAATGAATTTTTAGTGTTTTTTTTGGGGGGAAATGTCTGCAACGTGACGCCAAGCAATTGATGGTTGTCGTAATTAATAGCGAATACTCATTACCTCCTCGCTAATGTTCTTTTCTTACTCCATTCGGAATTTTTTGGTTTATTTAGTTTAATATGTATCGGAATAGTATCGGAGTAGTATCGGAATAGTCTCGAAATAGTGACGCAATAGTACATATGATTCAAAGTTGTTTTTTTTATTGTGTAAATAATAAAAATTGAATCGATATAGTGTCGATACAATCACGAAATAATATCGAAATAATATCGAAATAATATCGAAATAGTATCGAAATGAATATTGATGATTCGGAATTGTTTTTTTGTTGTTGTGTAATATAATAAGAATTGAAAAAAAAATTCTTTTAGCTTAATACATTGTGGAGGTCAAGTTATTAATTGCGTTAATTGAATTAATTGAAGTAACCTAAATTTATCTTCTTCAACTGTGAATTTCAAAACTCTCCCAAGAGTTTGAAGAAGTGTGGCTTAAATTTATTCGCTCTATGATAAACTTAATGTAATTTAATTAATCTATACGGCACGGACAGCAGACGTACATATGTAACAGATTAGGTGGAAGTCGTTAATTGTTGGTCTTGTTGAATTCCAGTTTGTCATCTATGTCTCAGGACTATGAATACAAACGCTCACATCACACATAGACACGCAAATGCATTCACACATACATACACACATCCATCCATGCATCCAGATAAATATATTAGACATGTATACGTACATATATCTACACATACATACGTAAGTATAAACATACATACGTGAATAAACACACACACACACACACTTACATAAGTACACACACATACACACACGTCTGTGAAGAAGGATTCTAATTAACTACAAAATTCATTTGAAAAAAAAATTTGTATAATGTAAGTAGATGTAGAATTGCAATCATAATTATATATATATATATATGTGTGTGTGTGTGTGTGTGTGTGTGTGTGTGTGCGTGTATGGTGTGTGTGTGTGTGTGTGTGTGTGTGTGTGTGTGTGTATGTGTGTATGTGTGGGTGATTATACGTAGGGTGTGTGAACATGTGGATCGTAAAATAGGTTATGGGATGACAAAGATGAATGCAAATATATGAATGATAGATGATTTTAATGAAAAAGCTTCATCAAAAGAAAATTCATTGTCACTATGTTTTCGTGTGCTTGTTTGTCTGTGTGTGTGTATATGTGCATGTGTGCGTGCGTATGCGAGTGTGGTGTGTGTAATAAATTCACGTTATATACGGCTGAATGTTTGTTGGTTAAGTTAGATTGAAGATTGACTGTTATATTGTTTATTAACATGCTATTAAATGGTATATACGTGGGACGAGAATGCGTTGAAATGATGTGATTGCTAGTGACTGCGTGTGTGTGTGCGTGCGTGTGTGCGTGTGCGTAACTTCAGTCAAATAGTGACGTATGCTAATTGGTTTCGAACAGATACAAACAAATTCACATTTCTGAAGACTGTATGTGGTTTTTAACGTTGAATTTTATTTAATATCAATACGAATGTGGTAAGCTATTAGTTTTTTTTCAAACAAACAGTCGACATTATTATAATAAAAAAAAATTTTTTTTGAAAAACGTAATGAGGAAAATATCGAAAAACAGTTAAGAATGAGATTAAGAAGAACACTACATACACTCAAACAAACACACACACCTACAAACAAAAAAACAAACACACATACAAACAAACGCACGCACACAAACAAACATATCTACACAAACAAACCAATAAATACCATAGCAAAATGTTTCTATACACATGAAACACTAAAGAAAAATAAAAAAATTACAACAGTATTTTTAATAACTTAACCGTAAAATGTTAAAAGTCTTTGATTTCAACCTTAATTTATCCACATTAAAATTGTAATTAAATAAAAATATAAAGAAAAAAAACATCAAAAAAGAATTATTGTTTTAACTAGAACTATGAGGGTAACTAATTAATGAAGTGGTGTATCGTTTAATCAGTACTAAACAAATAATTTTTTCTGAAAAATCTAATAAAAATTGGACAAAGAGAGATATAAAGAGGAGAGATAGAGATAGAGTAAGAAAGAGTAAGAGTAAAAAAGAAAAAGAGTACAAAAGAGAGAGAGAGAGGGGGGAGAGAGAGAAAAGAGAGAGACTGAGAAAGAAAAAGAAAAAAAGAGAAATATGATGAAAGAATGAAAGAAAAAGAGAAACGAAGTAACCACCAGAAAGCGCGAGAGAGATGGAGAGAGAGAGAGAGGGAATGAATAAGATAGAGAGAGAAAGAGAGAGAGAGAGGGGGGGGGAATGAATAAAATAGAGAAAAAAAGAGAGATAGAAAGAGAGCGAGAAAGAGAGAGAGAGAGAAAGAGAGAGAGAGAAAGAGAGAGAGAGAGAGAAAGAGAGAGAAAGAGAGAGTGTGTGTGTGTAACCTACTACAACTAATAATACTTTATGCGGTATAACAATAACAACACTGCTAAGTTAGGCGTGTATTGCTGGGGGAGAATTAGCGAAGAGAACCCCGTTATAGATCGTTCCATTGATCTCCATGCTGACCGTCATCGAGTTCTCCTGCTCTGTCCTCGAGTTATCTGGAAATTTGTAAGGAAGAAAATTCATATTTAAAAGTTAATTTGACGGAAATGATTTTTAAAATTGTGAAAATGTTTTACGAAGATTGATTTTTTCTAGGTGATGTTCATACTTGTTATTTTAATTTTAGACGTCAGTGGACCAGAAAATGTGGGTGTGTTTAATAGGAAAGGTTGGGGCAGCATTCCAACGACACCATTCAAGTTGTTGTTAGTGATGTTGCTGCTGCTGCTGCTGTTGTTGCTGTTGTTGTTGTTGCTGTTGTTGTTGTTGTTATTGGTGTTGAATCTTGACTGTAAGACCGACTCTTCAAAAAATCTTTTGTTCATGACTGGCGTTAAACTGTTTCTACCATTCTGTTGTTGCCCGCAACCAACATCTTCCTGTTTGAAAGATGGTGTCTGTCTATGTTGTTGCTGCTGCTGCTGCATTTGATGATGTTGCAGTTGTTGCAATTGATGTTGTTGCAATTGTTGCTGCTGTTGGTTCATAGCCGACCTCGCAGATTCCTCAACTCGTTTGGCGACCTGCTCCATCGCCCTAGCAGCAGCTTCATGCATCAGACGAGCGTCGTGTTCTGCCATAAACGACCGAAAGTGATGGTTGCCCATGTGTAGATGTTGCATCGCTGATGTCGCCAGGAAAGCGGCGGCAGGTGGCGGAGGTGGTGGCTGCTGCGACTGCTGCGAAGATCTGTCCTCGCCTATAGATGATTGATTTTTAAACAAGGTTAGCAAGGTTAGTTATATTCACAGTAACTTTTTTAAATTACTGAAAAGTGATCCACACAAATTTGACACACACACACACGCACGCACGCACACATAGGTCGTAATTACACACACCTACACATAAACAAACAGACATTTCATTTCATACAGACATCATCAGCAAGAAGCAATTAAAAGTTCATGTTATTTGTTATAATATTTTTATGAGATATTTCAACACCGCCTTTGATTTATACACGGCTAGTCAGTTTATTGTTGCACGAAATATTGTTAACGAATCAGTCAGTTTTTTTTTTCATTTAATACTTGACGATATATACACACACCACACACACACAAACACACAAACACACACACATACACAACACAACACACACACACACATACACAACACATACATACACACTTACATATACACACGCATGTATATACATACACACATACATATGCATACATACATAAACACGCACATACATTTATGATGCATGCGTTAACTAATTATCATCACATACACACATGTATTCAATAAAAACTAATAATTGTTTTTCATATCGTTAAAACAAACAATCAACAGCATTTTTATGCAGTTGCGCGTTAAAAAAATATATATGCACGTACACACACACGCACACACACGCACACACACTTATATGTAGTGTGTGTGTGTTTGTGTGTTTGCTTAAGAAAAATAGAGAATGAGAAAAAAATGAGAGAGAGTGTATATGTGTATTTGTGTGTGTATGTGTGAAAGAGAGAAAGAGAGAGAGAGAGAGAGAGAGGCAAAAAGAGATAGAAAGTGTGTGTGAGTGTATGTGTGCATGTATCTGTATATGTGCGTGTAATTACTATTAGAAGTACGGACGAAATGCATACCAACACTCATTTGATGAATTATGAAAAATGGAATTAGACATACGGCATAATTTCACAAGTGTTGAAATAAGGTATTTGCTCGTCTGGGCTATGTGTACACACACATAAACCCATGCACACGCACACACGCACGCACACGCAGACACACACGCAGACACACACATATTTATGTATGTATTTGTATTGTTTATGTATATAGTTGTATACATTTTTTATTTATTCATTTCTGCACATGAAATTTACCTGCTATTAATTATAATAGAAGCATATGGAGGAAAGCCATATCCTTTCAATGATAACTAAGTCACTGGAAGGAAGGAGTGTAAAAATGAATGAATGAATGAATGAATGAATGAATGAATGAATGAATGAATGAATGAATGAATGAATGAATGAATGAATGAATGAATGAATGAATGAATGAATGAATGAATGAATGAACGAACGAACGAACGAACGAATGAACGCATGAATAAATGAATGAACGAACGAACAAACAAACGAACGGACGGACGAACAAACGAACAAATGAATGAATGAATGAATAAATAAAAAGAAAGAAAGAAAGATACAAGATGTTTTTGAATGAAAGAATGAAGGATAGATGGATGGTAAACATAACCATAAATAAGCATCTAAATATGCATATACATACATACAAACTTACATACATACATACATACATACATACATACATACATACATACATACATACATACATACATACATACATACATACATACATACATACATACATACATACATACATACATACATACATACATACATACATACATACATACATACATACATACATACATACATACATACATACATACATACATACATACATACATACATACATACATACATACATACATACATACATACATACATACATACATACATACATACATACATACATACATACATACATACATACATACATACATACATACATACATACATACATACATACATACATACATACATACATACATACATACATACATACATACATACATACATACATACATACATACATACATACATACATACATACATACATACATACATACATACATACATACATACATACATACATACATACATACATACATACATACATACATACATACATACATACATACATACATACATACATACATACATACATACATACATACATACATACATACATACAT